TGATATCACACCAAATTTGGCCATATCATTCCTTTAAGAAGAGCCTTGATTTCCCCATCTGGGAAATATAAGGGGTTGAACTAGAAATCAAAAGCCCACTTCCCCATGCCCACTCAGATGTTCCCTGTTCTAGGTTCCCTCCAGGCTCTTCCCAACTCTGGCTTTCCCTGTTCTGAGGTCCATCCCAGCTCTGACATTTCCTATTCTAAGGCCCCTCCCAGCTCTGACATTCCTTGTTCTAAGGTCCTTTTCAGCTCTGACATTTTCAGGCCCTTCTGACCTCTGTTTGAAGGTCCATCCCAGCCCTGACACTGGGTTTTGGGTTCTAAGGTTCATCTACGTTCCGGCGCCCTGGCTTGATATGACGTTGGAGACAAAGATGAGAAACTCTTAAGATTATTCCTGCCCATGTAGAACGTGGCTCCGAGTGATAAGTATTTCATGGACCTCTAGCAGGGGAAGGACCTTACAGATGGCCTGGCCCAAGCCCTTTGTTTTTACAGAGGTAAATACGGAGGCAAAGAGAGGTCAGCACCATTTCCAGGGCCTTGTCCTGCCCCAGGCTGTCTGATAGCTGAGGAGTGGCAGCCTGCCCCGGGCCTGAGAGCTGGAAGAAGTCTTCTCATGCCTGGACTTGACCCTTGCAGGCCCTCGCTGAGCATGGGCCCCAGGCAGACAGATGGAGCCCACTGGGGCCCCAGGCATGACGTCTGCACAGATGGGGCCTTGGCAAGAGTTCCTGTACCCAGACTCCTGGGCGTCTCCCTGGTGGGGCAATCCCCCTCTGAATGAAGCCTGGATTTAGCCAAGGCAGAGTCCTCACCAGGCACTCAGGCAGCAGGAACAGAGCCAGGGAAAGGGACGGGCCCTGTGTGCCGCGGCAGGGCCCCTCCTGTGTGTGGTTGGGTCAGGGGAGCTGAAGCTGAGAGCCTGGGAGGCCAGACCCCTTGCAAGGGGCTGGGGTGGAAAAATGACAATTCAGGTGCTCAGCTTACTGAGGAGGGGGGAGAGTGTAGAGGGATTCACTGATGGCAGTGATGAGGGGTGGGCAGGATGGAACATGAAAAGGAGGTGGCTGAGAGCCAGGGACAGCAGAGGGAGGCTCTGCAGACCACAGGGGAGGCCAAGGAGCCCTGCGTATCAGGGGGCAGGGCAGAAGAAGCAGCCAGCCTCAGAGGGGGGACACCAGAGAGGTCAGCTTAGAGGGAGGACCGCCTAATCTAAGCTCCTCCTTTTACAGTGGGGGACACTGAGGCCTGCAGAGTTCTGAAGTTGTCCAAGGCCAAGGCGCTAAGCAGGCAGAGTTGGGAATTAGACCTGGCCCTCTCCCTGCTTCCCAACCTGAGCTCTTTCCCTGGGGACAAGATGCTCAGAACATTCCTGATGCTGGACACTGAGCCCCAACCCGGCTCATCGCAGGCCAACCGCCTTCCCACACGGGGCCAGGCAGCCCAGCCAGCCCCCAGCCACAGGCCAGGACATTCCGCATTGCCCTGTGTGGGCCTGGAGCATCCCCAGGATGTGGCTGCAGTGGCCAGCCGATTCCCAGAGGTTACACACCACCACCAGACCTGGCTTAACACAAAAGGTTGATTTTTATTGAGTAACAAGAACATCAGAATAAAACGGGCCTTTCATTCATTCCCAAGACATTGCGGGGGGGGGGGGAGGAATCATAAAATCAAGTTCTTGTTTCCTAAGAATTCTGCCTCCATGGGGGAGGGGGAAGTGGCTTGAGGATGGGGGTAGGGGGTCAGGAAAGGTCCCTCCAAACATGAAGAACATTCAGTTCAGAACTGCCACCAGAGCTAGCCCCAACAAAGAAGCACCAGGTCGGCAGGCTAGATGAGCATTTCTCCTGCCCCCCACCCGCCACCCCCCACCCTCCAATGCGACACTAACAGACCTAAAACGCCACCTTCCTCATTCCCTGGGAAGAACTAATGTGTTAGTAGGTTAGAGACCCAGCTGTGGGGCACGGTGATGTCAGGCACTCCTCCCATCCTCTGTGCTCCCCCTGGACCCTTAGCTGCGCCCTCCCTTCCCCATCCCTCACCTTCCCAGACTTGTCCTCCTCTAGCACAAACTCCTTTCCTCACTTTCTCCTTCCCAACCTTTAATCATTTCTCGGGTCCCTTCCCTTCTCCACCTCCGAACCTCCAGGGCACTCAGGGCTCTCTGCCAATCTAAGACTCAGGGCTCACCTCCACATTGCCATCTCCACCTCGCCCGCCCCCTCTAGCAGGCTCAGGGACATTGGGGGTGCGGGAGTAGGGCAGCACTGGAGAAGGATGATTTTCCTGGGAGCCCCAAGGACCCCTCCATTGACAACAGCATACATTCTAATCCAGTTAAGACTTTTAAAGGGAATGCTATGGACAGTGAATACTGCTAACCACCATCCCACACCTTTGGAATGGGGGGTCACAGGGATGTGACCACCTAAATCTAGTTCTTATACTCAACCTGAAAATAGTTATCAGCGCATATAAAACTAAGGGATAAAGAGCCCTTGGTGGTCCCGGAAGACAGAAGTTAGTAAGTCTCACACATCCTGCTCGAGGATGAGCTAGTACAGTCGGGCATTTCTAAAGCCTAGAAGGGGACCTGCTGTAGGAGTGGTCAAATCCTACCCAGCAGGGGAGGGGAAGAAGGGGCAACGGAGAATCCCTCCAGTGTCATCTCCCTTATCTCCTGAAGCTTCTTAGAGGGTGAGACTTGGCTGTTTGCCTGGGGTGCTCCCTCCACCCCAACAATCCCTTGGCAAGCATCACTTCTTACCCTTATGGGGCTTCCTCAAAGACCAAGACTGGAAGCTGGCCATCGCCACCAGCCAAAGCTTCATCTTCCCTCCGAGAGCCAAAGGTGCCCTTTCCTGGGACCCCTCTGAACTGCCCGGCTTAACACTAAGCAAAACGAGGGCTCTCCCAGGACGGGGAAGGACAGACGCCATGGCTGGAAGGAGGGCCATGAGAGGAGACGGATCGCGCTGGTACTCGTAGAGGTGCTGGACACTGGATGCCAGTAATCCAGTCCACCTGCTTTGTTTTACAGAGAGGGGAAAGTGAGGCCCCAAAAGAAGTCTGAAAAGCCCCCACTGTCATTGGGCCTGGGTGTACAAGGGTGGCCCGAGGGAGAAGCTAACCACTGCCTAGCCCCAGGACAGGATCAGAGGGAATGTTTGTCCTCTGGACTCCCTGCTGTGAGGGAGCCCCCTCCCAGCATCTGGGTCAAAAAGGAGAAGGAGGAGAATTTTCTTCCCAGATCTTAAGGCCACTGTGATGTGTGCCTGAGAGAGGTGGCCTGAGGCCAAAGGTTGCTACTCCAAAGAGAAGGCAGCTCGGTCTAGCAGAAATAGCAATGGATTTGGGGCCGGACAACATGGGTTGGAAGCCCTGCTGTGCTCCTCACTACCTGTGTGATCTCAGGCGAGCCTTTCTGAGGCTCAGTTTCCCCATCTGTAAAAGGAGGTGAGCGTGGGCTCTCTAATCCCTAAGGTCACCCTTCCCCTCTGGCTTTCTAAATCGATGCTCCCACAGTTAGGCACTGAGCACTACCGCGGTGCCCGGGGTGCCAAGCACGGGAGTGGGGGCAGGTGAACTCCTCTGATTTTGAGGCTGGGACATGCCTGAAGGGAAGGCAGAAAACCCTCCAGAGACATCCAAAGAAGGCAGGATGAACAGCTGCCTCATTTGCCCATCTGTTCTGGGCATTCTCCAGTCCCAGTGATAGGCTCAAAAGGCAACCTGAGGGACAGGCCCTGGGACTAATGAATTGGGGCTTGGGGGATGCTGGGCAGCTCCAGCGGGGGGGGGGGGGAGTCAGTGGAGTTTTGACTTTTCGACCAGCTCCAAGCCAGCGATGCTCTTGGGAGGAAAGGGGGTACCAGGCGTTTCTAATCTGAAACCAGGCTGAGCTGGTCACAGGATCAGAGGGTTTCAGACCTGGAGGAGCCCTGGGGTCCATCCAGTCTGATCCCCTCTCTAACAGAAGAAAACGAAGCCCAAATTGCTTTCTCAATGTCATACGGGCAGTAAGTCACTGAGCCAGGATTTGAACCCGGGACTCCTGATAGCTCACCTGGTGTTCTTCCCGCCACACCAGGGTGATCCTCTGAGGGAGGCCCCCAAAGGCTCTGGTCCTGAGAATGACCCACATTTCAGGATAAATCAGCAGGCCGTTTGTAAGTTGCCCAGGCTCAGTGTGAAATGGCCAGCAGGGCTGAGGGCGAGGGACTCTGCTGGCTAGGCAGGCCCCAAACAGCAGGTCTGAGGGTTAGGGCTTATCACAACTTCCCAGGGGTGTGGAGAGTGTTGGGCCAAGGCCCAGAGGCTAGGCCAGCAGCTGGCAGAGGCTTCCTACCCTGGCGACAGGCAGGGGCGTGGGGGGATTGGTGACTGAGGACAACACGCACCATCCCTTTCTTTCCCTCAGGAAAGAGAGAGCTGGGAATCATGGCAGGGTGAAGAAGGAGGGCAGCCTGTCCTGTGAAGGCCAGAAGCAGAAGCCAGGCTTGGAATGTGACGAGGGATGAGGTCAACATTTAGGCTTGGATCATAGCGACCCCAACACCCAAAGGGCTCATCGTGTGTCCCGACCACTACACCCCCATCCCCTGGAAAGAACTGAGTCAGATCATCCCCTGGAAAGAACTGAGTCAGATCAGCCGCTGCCAGATGGCAGGAAATTGGAGAAGGGGATTGTGCTCTGGGGGGAGGGAGAGAGAGACAGAGACAGAGAGACACAGAGAGAGATACACAGAGACACAGAGAGAGAGAGAGAGACAGAGAGAGAGACACACACACACACAGAGACACAGAGAGAGACAAAGAGACAGAGAGACAGAGGGAGAGACTGAGAGAGACTGAGAGAGAGGAGAGACAGACAGAAGAGAGACAGAGAGAGACAGAGACAGAGAGAGACAGAGACAGAGAGAGAGAGAAGGGAAAGAGAGAAAGAGCAAAGAGAGGGAGAGAATGAAGAAAGGGAGGAGGAGAGAGACAGAGAGGAAAGAGGAGACAGAGACAGGAGAGAGAAGGGGAGGCAGAGAGACAAGAGGGGAAGGGGTATCAAAGGGGGCTCCCATGGAGGTTTCCTGAAATGGCCCCGAGCCCTCTTGGAGGAGCTTGGTCCACCCTAACTCAAACGTGCTGCTCAGCCCCTGCCTCCCTTCCCCACAGGTCCCTAAGGGGGGTGGGCTTCATTTGTGGAGGTAAGCATCCAACCAGAGGTCTCCTGACTTCTTCAAGGACCTGTGGAGAGGAAGAGGAGGCTCTTAGGGTCATGGATCTCAGGACACTTAGAGGGCATCTAGTCCAATGTTCTCATGTTATGGATGGGGAAACTGAGGCCCAGGGTGGGCAGCATGGGGTGTGCCCTGGATTTGGACTCTGAGGCCCTGGGTTTGAGACCCTGCTCTGGTACTGACGAGCTGTGTGACCTCAGGAAAGTCTCTCACCTCAATGGACCCCATTTTTCCCATCTGTAAAATGTGGAAATTGGACTACATGGTCACCGAAGTGTCTGAGGCCCTTGATTCCCCGGTGAAGGGTCGGGATTAGAATCCAGGTCTTCCTGGTTGCCTCGTCTTTCATTCGCAGACAGAACAGCCTCCTTTCCCCAGCATCTTACGACCCCAAGGATCTGGCCATGGACCCAGGAGATCTTGATGAGGCGTTTCCCCTGGCAGATGCATGCTCCCTCCCCCCACTCACTGGGCAGCCCCCGCCCCTCGCCCATGCTGGGCCCCCAGGCCCACCCCCCCACCAGCCCTTACCCCACGATGTCCAGCAGGGCTCTCATGAGGGGCTTTTCTTGGTAAAGGATGCCATGCTTTGCACACAGAGACTTGACCAGGGGGGCGACCTTGTGGTAATTGTGACGCGGCATGGTGGGGAAGAGACTGGGGAAGGGGCAGGGAAAGAGGAGGTGAGCAAGGCCTAGAGGGAGACCAGCTGGACCCACCCTTTCCTTCTGCAGATGAAGAAACTGATGGCCAGAGAGGACCAGTGAGGAACTCAGCCACCTAGCCAGTTTATCGTAGGGTGGGAACCTGAACCCAGGTCTTCTGCTTCCCAGCTCAGTGGAGCTCCTTGCCTGGGAAGGACACGGGCAGAGAGAAGTCCCAGCAAAGGGGCTCCCCTCCACCAATGCAGACCAGCATCCATTCTGCAATGGATCACCTTAGAAAGGGACCTGGTACACTGAGCATGGAAGTGATTTGCCCAGGATCCCACTGGCAGCATGTGTCAGGGGCAAGATTTGAACCCAGGGCTTTCTGCCTCCAACACTGGTTCTCTATCCGGGGCCACAACTGTCTCTCAATGGTGCAACAACAGCTTCCCTGTGTCCACGATAGGGCCCAAGGCTGAGGATGAACGTGCCTTGGCACAAGGGCCTCGTGTCTCTTGGCATATCTGTGTACACAGGGCACGTGTGCGCGTGGGAGGCATTGAAGTGTCTCCCGTGTGCCAGGCATGGTGTCAGCGACACAGACCAAGTGCCTTTACGTTGGCAGGGCCCCCAGGGCTGGAAGGCCCTTCCTTCTCCTCCTCCTCTTTAATCTCAGGCTTGCCCCTCCCCGAGATGTCCGGCTGCCGCCACCCCATGCCCTCCCCAGCCCATGCCCGGACTCACTGGTGCTCGATCTGGAAGTTGAGGTGGCCACTGAACCAGTCATTGAAGAAGGACTGTTCCACGTTGCAGGTGGCTGAAAGCTGCCAGGAAGAGGGAGGATAAGACACAGGGAAGGAGCCAACATCTTGGGGGTGGCCCGGCTCCTTGGGCCAGGTGGGGGATCACCCACCTTCATCCACCCCATCAACCCCAGCACCAGAAGCACCCACCATCAAAGCAGGAAGGGACCCAAAAGGCGGCCCCTCAATGGCACCCCCAACGAATAGCCATCCCGCCATGGCTTGAAGACCGCTGGGACAGGGAATGCACTACCCCCGGAGGGGAATTAAGAAGTTTCCCCTTGGGTCAGTCTAAATCTGTGTCTTTGTCACTTGCTATCATTACATCCTGTTCTGCCTTGGGTGAGCAAGCAGAATGAAGCTAATCCCTTTTCCCCAAGACAGCACGTCAGAGAGCCTTATTATTACTCTGTACCTCATGCCCCACCTGACTCTTTTCTTCCAGTTAAGATGAGAATACCCCATGTTCCGCTAAGCCATCCCAGGTGGCGTGCCCCCTGTCCAGTTTCCCCACCATCCTGGGGGGTCTGCTCTCCCTGAAGCCAGACCTTGATCCCAGATTCTATCGCTCCACCCACATGGCATATGGGAGCCCCCATCGGTGGGGCTCCATTCATTTCCTCAGCAGACTGAGCTAAGGAAAACTTGGGTCAATAGGTCCAAGTCATTATCGGACGGAGAGACTCTCATTCCTCGTGAGCTCACATCCCCCAGGGATGAAAGGGAAGACAGCCCCTGATCCTCTTCCCAGCCCACCCCTGCCACAGCCCTCACCTGGCTGCTCAGCCAGTCTTGGTATTTCTCCCGATCGATGTCCATAGGAATATGATTCATCTGTGTGACCCACACAAACCAGTGGCTCTCCAGGAACCTGGGAGAGAACACAGCCAGCTCAGCCCATTGAGTGTCTGCGTCCACCCGGGGTCCCCTGGAGCTTCTGAAGGCTTGACAAACCTGGGCATTAGAGAGGGCAGCGCCTTCATCGCTCCTGGGGGCTACCCGCCTCGTGCCGGGAGATCAAGGGAAGGTCAGTGTCCCAGTGGTGACCAGCAGTGGGAGGAGGCTCAGGGGGGTCTGCTGGAGCACCTGGGGGTCTAGGCCAGTAGATGTTTCCCCACATGGCTCCATGCCCCAGGTAGGCATGGCGACAAGCAGGCAGTGGATATCTGGGCAGGGTCACCATTGTGAGGGGGAGCAGCAAGGCTGAGACCATGGCGTGGCACCTTTTAATCTGGACGTGTTGCCTGACACTGCCCTGAACTCCCCACATACCACTTGGTCAGGGGTCTGTGGTGCTAGGGCAGTCTTCACTCCCTCAGAGAGCCAAGGGGAGGGGACCCCTGAGCTCTCCTTGGAGGCCAGGAGGGTAGTCAAAACAAGCTTTGCCCCTCGTCCCCAGGAATGAATCAGCACAGCCCGGCTACCTGATAAAGTTGAGGAAACACAGGGATCCCAGGACTCCATAGAAAGGGGTGTAGGTGATGAAGAACCGTGTGTAGTAACTGATGGCCCAGGCCAAGTCCTAGGGAGAGAGCCAAGAGCTCAGACACCCGGCCTCACAGGGCTGGATGTTCTGTGGCCCCTCCAGTGTGTGCGTGTGTGTGCACAAAGGATCAGAGTCTAGAGCAGAAGGCCCCTCAGAGGCCTCATTTTATACAACGGAGGGTGAGAGGAAGACTGGAGCCAAGAGACTTACCCAAGAGTCAGTCAGTGGCCAAGTGAGGATTAGAACCCAGGTCCTTTGACTCCAAGGCCAATCACCGTCCACCCCCATGGGAGCTGAGTCCTCAGAGACCAGATGCCTAGCTCAGTACACCCACTGCCCCCCCCCACCCCATATCTCGGGTCATGTGACTCACCACCCAGTCTTTGCGCACAATCATGGTCATGATGATCTGGAACTGGAAGTACATTGGGATGAGTAACGGCGGCCCGACTGTAGGAGGAAGACAGGAAGCGGTGAGAGGGAGGGGGGCTGGGAGGGCAGGTGTGGGCCCCCCCCCCGCCCCTCCCACGTGCGGCACAGCTCTGTCACGAGCCCTGGGGCAGCAGGCAGGGGCCGGGCTGACCTCGCTGACCACGGCCATTGCCATATCATGCCGAGGGCACGTGAGGAGCCCGAGGTGAGAGGACGGAGCCTGCTGCAGCCGGGCCCAGACTCCCCGAGTGACCATGCACACGGGCTGCCCTCTCTGGGCCTCTGCGTCCTCTTCTGTAAAAGAAGCGAGTGGGCCGCCGTGGCTGGTGGGGCTGAGGGAGCCCGCTTGGGGCCCACACTCAGCCGTGGGATCACTGGCAGGTCATTGAACCTCTGGGGGACTCCGTTTCCTCAACCATAAACCGAGTGAGTTCCTTGGTTGATATGGCGAGAAATACATTAAGAATTGGAGTGAAAGAATCTGGATTGGGCCCCAGGCTGTGCATTTTATCTGCTGCTGGATGATGGACAAACGACTCTATTTCTTATTGATTTAAAGGGCCTCTATTTCTTCATCTCTAAAATGGGCATAAAATAAAGATCTCTCTCATAGAGGTGTTCTGGGGAAAGGAGGAAAGGGTGGAGCTGAGCCTGGAGTCTGGAAGATATGAGTTCCTTTCTAGCTTTAGACCATTTACTAGCTAGATGACCCAAGGCTAGGCATCTGACTGCCTCAATTTCCTCACCTGTAAAAGGGGATAACAGCACCTACCTCCCAGCATTGCTGTGAGGATACAGTGAGTTAATGTCTATAAAGCACTTTACAAATGCTAGATATTATAAGTTATCCTCATAATTAGATGGAATCTCCAATGATTGATATCAATATTACAATATCAATTCTAATAATGATTAGTATATTATGTATTATTAGATGGGAGCTCCTTTTATTAGATTGCTCTCCAGTTATTAACATTATAACAATGGGGTACCGATTATTGTTATTAATACAATATTAATTATAACAGCCTATTGTTGTCTAGTGACTCCAATGATCCACTGTATAATATTAATTAGATTATTATAATATAATGATAGATAATTATTAGATGAGATCTAGTATTTTTATTAAATGAGATCTCTGGTTATTAATTTAATTATAATTATAATGTAACAATATAATATATGCTAATTATTAGCATATCAATATTATTCAGTGAGATCTCCTGTTATTACATTAATCATAATCATTACAATAATATAAAATCATTATCAGATGGGGTCTATGGTTGCTATTCCCCTCCTCCTCCTCCAGCTCTAGCATCCTATGACCTCTTGGCTCTTCTGAGCACCTCACCAGTGGGGGAGGGACAGAGGGCTGCTGAGGGTCTGGGGCCTGGGGCCGGGTTTGGGTGGGCAGCCCTGGACTGGCCACTGTACTCACTGAAAAAGAAGTACTGATGCTGGTGGTTGTAAGGCAGGTATTTCAGTTTCTTCTTGCCGTACTGGAGGAGAGAAGGGAAGTCGTTCAGAAGCGTCTGGACTGCTGACCCTGGCCTGGAGAGGTGGCCGGGGCTGGCAGGCAGGGAGGAGTCTGGGAGAGCCAAGCAGGAATGGGAGGTGTCACACCAGGTGACAGGAATCCCAAGTGGCTAGAAAGAGGGGCCAAATTTCCCAAGATGACATTGAATGAAGATAAAGGTGAAGTTCTACACTTGGAATAAACAATCAATTGCAGAAGGCCAGGATTGAGGGCTGGAGCTTACCTGAGCTCACTCATGAGTGCCTGGTGCGCCAGACGGTCGGTCAGTAAACCTTTATTAAGTCCCTACAATGTGCCAGGCACCATGCTAAGCCAAGCTTGGCCCCAGCGCTACTGCATCTGCATTAGTAGGACAGTGCCTGGATAAAAAGCCGGTCTGGCTGGGGGCCCTGCTAAGGGAAGGAAGGCAGATGGACAACGTGGGCCAGCGGCCCACATGTTACACTTAGCTGAAGGTTCCTCCGTACACCCAGCAGGGTGTCATAAGGAGTGACCCTCAGGCAGGGATGTCTGTGGGGGTGAACCCACATGGAGTACTCTGTGTCCTGCCCCTGTCATCTAGGGAATGCACTGCGTTGCGCCCGGGGCCAGCCCTGGCGGCACTGGTTTGGGTGCCCGTAGCTGCTCTGGCTGGCTTTCATCCCTGGACAAAGGGCACAGGTAGAAAGGGTCATTTTGGCACCAAAAGGCCCAAGAGGAGGTGGGCCGCCTCTCTGCCAAGGGCTGGCAAAGGTCAAAGTGAAGTTGGGGACAACAGCCTTGGCAAAATGCTGACTCCACCTGGGACTTCTGGGGACTCTTTCTGAGTTGAGTGATCAGTGCTGGGCTGAGCCCAACCTGTGGCCGGAAGTCCTGGGCAGCCCAAGTGGCCAGCCAAGTCCTCAATGGCCTCTGCAACCCTGGACACTGGAACACTGGAGAGGCCTCCCAGGCCTGGAGAACAAGGACCACAAGGGACAAGGTCTACTGTCATATCTCATCCAAAGGCCCCCCGATCCAAGAGTCCGTCTCCCAACTCCCTGTCTTTGCACTGGCTGTGCTCCATACCTGGAATGCCTTCCTTTCCCTGCCTTTACCTCCCGGTTTCCTTCAAGACTCGGTTCGAATCCCACCTAATGAAAGAGGCCTTTCCAGGTGCCCCCAAACTAAGGCCTTCCCTCTAAGACTACCTTCCATCTGCTCGTGTGTGCGCAGAGTGGCTTACACTGTCTCCCCCATTGGAGTGGGAGTTCCTCGAGGGCAGGAACTGTCTTTTGCCTTTGACATTCCCAGTGGTTAGCACAGTGCTTGGCATACAGTAAGTGCTTAATAAAGGTGTGTTGATTGGCTTGAATGGGATTGAGTACCACTGTCTAAGAAGTGACGAAGAAAATGAAGACTTCAGAGAAGCAAGAGGAGATTTCTCTGAACTGATGCAACGTGAAGGAAGAAGAACCAGGAAAGCAACATATACATTGACTACAACACTTCATAGAGGACAACAACCATGTTGAATAATATGTCGTTCCAGTGACCACGCCCATCAACGAGGAGTGAGGAAAGAGGAGCTTCCCTTCCTTCTTCGCAGAAGCTGGGGGAGCGCCTGGGGGTCTGGAACACGGCCTGTGCAGCCAAACCCCAGCAGATGAGGTTGGCTGGTGAGCTTTGCTGAACCACATCTCGCCCTTCACCCCAGACCCCCTTTCTTTTTCTATTCATCGTCACAGGGGACACGGTTCTCCGGGGAAGAGAAGGGAAGAGATGTATTTGGAAATGGAGCTGATATACATACATACATACATACATACATACATACATACATACATACATATATATATATACATATACACACACAATAGAGATGTATTTGGACATGGAGCTGATATATATGTATATATTTATATTTATACATATATATAACCTGTATAAACATTTTAAAGCCCTATTTGGCAGTTCCATGATTGATCTGGAAGATTAAAGTTTCTGGACCAAAGGGATGGACAGACAGCTGGAGCCCAATTCCCATCCCGTCCCACTATGGGGGAGGGGAGCAAGCCCCACCTCCCCCCAGAGGCCCAGTCCTAGCTGGATGTCATTGCCAAGTCCCTTCCCAGCCTGCCCTGCATGGACTCTCCATTCTGGCAAGCTGGCCTACATTTGCACTTCCCTGAACTTGGCATCCCATCTCCTGCCTTTGTTATCTCCCTCCCTCAAATATATGTGGAGCTTCATAAGTGTTACTGATTGACTGACTGATTGATCGAAGCCCAGCTCTGCCATTTACCATCCCTGGGTCTTTGACCCAAATCCCTTCATTTTTCTAGGCCTCGGTCTTCTCATCTGTAAAGAAGGAGATGGACAGGACGACCTCTGTCTCCTTCCAGCTCTCATCTATGAGGCTATCGATCTGGCCAAAGGCTGTATCTGCCCTTCTCCCTCTCGGCAGAAGGTAAGCTCACTGAGGACTGGCGCTACCTCCGTATCCCATAATGATGCCAACTATACGTGGCATTGATAAAACAACACTTTCCACATATTATTATCTCTTTTGATTCCTACTGAGCCTAGTCATCTACATCTCAGCTATTATTATATATAATACATAATATATTATATAGTATCCTTATACCCATTTTAGAGATGAAGTAGCTGAGGCTCACAAAATGACTTGCTTAGAGTAACAGAGCTAATAAGAGTCTGAGGCTGGACAGTTGCTACGTGGATCTGAACTGAATTCCACTTTCCTTCCCTGTAAAATGAGGGGGTTGAAGAGGCAGGGAAGGCCCCTGCAGCTCTAAATCCTGTCATCCATGCCCTTCAGTGCAGCCTGATCATGAGGAATACAGGGAGGGGGGTCAGCACCCCAGATTCATGGAGGCCAGGACTCAAGGGGGGCCTTGAAGGATGAGTGTGTAGACAGCGAAGGAGAAAGGGAGGTTGAGGCAGCCCCCCCGGCTGTCTGGGCAGAGCTGCACTTTCTCCAGGTGCAGAGGGGCCAGGGTCTGGGAGCCCAGCCACAGCCTAACAGGGCAGCCCAATTCTCCCATCAACCAAAGGCCCAGCTGTCTCTGCTCTATCTGCATAATGACATTCTCAGCCAGTTTGTTCCCATGCAGAAACACAACTGAGCTTTCTCTCCCCAGGAGAAAGTGAAGGAACAAGGGGAAAACTCCTTCCCAACTTATCTTCTCTCAGCTGGCTGGGATTGGGCCATCTGGGGGGTGATGTCACTCGGGGCCCTCAGGGCCTCAACTCTGACCAGTGGCATGCTTCAGGTCAGGTTGAGGAGATGACGGGGCTACGGTCCACCTTTGCAGAGGGGTGTTATTAAGGCACGGGGGCAAGATGGCGCCATGGGGAAGCCTTGGCCTCGGAAGTAGGGTCTGAAACTGAGCCCCTGTGTAAGTCATTGATCCTTTCAGTCTCATTGAGTGTCCATCTGTAAAATGGACAGTGGTGGAGCAGGGGGTGCTCCAGATGACTTCTGAGGGGCTTTCTCAGGGCTTCAGGCTCTGAACAGGTTATCCTGTCACCCTCTGTCACCCTTCTACACTGAGCTTCAAGCTCCTCCCAGACTCCATCTTCACACTTTTCCTCCAAGTCTGTCCCTTCCCTTCCCCTCTGAGCTGCCCTTGAGTTCAGGCCACCAGGACCAGCCACCCAGATGACTCTAACAGCCCTGGAGTAAATTCCTGCCCCACCCCCCATCTGTCTTTCAGCATCCCAAGATTTAACATTCCTTAGGCATGGGCCTAATCACAAGATGTTAGAAAATCTCAGAGGTCAACCCTATCATTTTACAGAGAGGAGAGCTGGGCCACAGAGAGGGGAAGGAAATTGGCCACACTCTCATAGCTGGGAAGTGGTAGAATTAGGATTCAAACCTAGCCAGAGCTAGAGTTATTTCCACAGCCCCCTCCTGAAGCACGTCACCACCACCTCTGACCAAGGCCAGGCAGCCAGATCTTCCACATTAGCACCTCGGTCCTAAATTCCAACACTGACATCAGGATTTCACAGTATTTAACAGGTTTAATTCTACCAGGGAGGGTGGTAAGGATGTGTGTGGGGGGGTTGGGGACAACCGAATCAGAGATTTAGAGCTGGAAGAGACCTTCAAAAAGTCCACCACTTTTGTTTTACAGAAGAGGAAATCGAGGCCCAGAGAAACAGGCCACTCACCCAAGGTCACACAGACAGTATGATTTGAACCTCAAATCCCACTACCTGTCACTGATTAGCCTTATGATAGGATCCTATTGAGCCGACAACCCCTATGCTACCACCTGGGCAAATCCCTTACTGACTGAGTCTCGGTTTCCTCCTCTGTTAAAAAGAGGGGGCTAGACTAGATATTCTCGGAGGCCCCTTCCAGGAGGAGGAAATCCAATGCTCCTTGTAGTTCTCGTCATGAGCCTCCCTCCCCCTCCCCTGGATATTGCCCACCAGGTAAAGGACACATTCTTTAGTCTGTCATTCAAGACCCCTCACTACCTTTCCATCTTCATCATCTCCTACCCCTTCATCTGCCTCCATCCAGGCTGCACCCTAGGACCACATCGGGAGCACCCATCGTCTTCCATCATTGCCACCCACCTTGCTAGTCCCCACTCCAAAGCTGCCCCATTTCTTTAGTCCTAAGCTGGGGGGGGGGTTGAATTCTGCCTCACAGACGTACAAGCTGGGTGACCTTGGGGGAGACCTCTCTCTATGGGCCTGTGAAACGACAGACCAGACTCAATGATCTCTGATATTTCTTCTGGCTCTCAATCCCTAACCTGTACTTTGCTTATTCGTTGGGGGGCCATAATCCTTCTGGCTAGGCAGAGCCCCATAAAAGAAGGGGCCATATCCCCTCAACTCCCCAGCTCTACTCCCTGAGAACTGAACCCACAGCAGGTGCCTAAGAAATGTTAATGGAATTGATGAATAAATGAATACCTACCTATGGTAGGCACTGACCCCTGAGGCCAGGCTTCCTTTGGGGGACAACACAGCCCTGCTCAGACAGAGACCCCTCCCACCCCAGAAGTGGAACAGGATTCCTTTTGTTTCTGCAAAGAGGATTTCTGTGAAATTGTCCATTGCAGCAAAGCTGGGAGTAATCCTGTTGCTACTGGCAACCCGATTTTAATTCAAAACCCTGGCATTAAAGACAAGGCTTTACAAGACAAGGTGTCCCAGAGGCCTGCCCGACTCCATCTTCCTCAGACCCAGCAGTAGAGCGGACCCCTGGGGTCACTGAGTCCAGCCCCCTCCATTTACAGGGGGGAACTGAGGCCCAGAGACGGCCTCATTAGAAAGAGTAAGAGTCGATCTAATCCCAGGCCTTCTAATTCAAAATCCAGTGTTCTTTGGGGAGGGGAGAGAGAGAGAGAGGAGTGAGACAGACAGACAGACAGAGAGAGGAGGGAGTATGTGAGCGCAGGGGGAGAGAAACAGAGAGACAGAGAGGAAAGAAAGAGACAGAGAGAGAAAAAGAGAAAGAGGGGAGAGGGAGTGAAAGAGACAGAGACAGACAGAGATAGAGGAGAGAGAGGCAGAGAGGAAACAGAGACAGAGAGATGGAGAGAAAAAGAGAGGAGGGTGGGGAGAGAGAGGAAGAGGAGACAAAGAGACAAGAACAGAGAGGAGAGACAAAGAGAGACAGAAAGTGACAGAGACAGAGGAGACACACAGAGAAAAGAGAATGAGGAGAGATAGAGAGAGAGTCAGAGGGACAGGCGAAGAGGAAAGAGAGACAGTTGCATTCAGGTGCTTCTTCTCTGCCTCCAGGAAAGGTTTGCTCTTTCCCCAGTGAAAATCAAAAAAATACCACAATATCAGTTCTGAGGAGCACAGGCCTGGTGCTGGAAAGAGCTCAGAGCCCATCTAGGCCAACCCTTTCATTTTAGAGAAGGGGAAACTGAGGCCCAGGGAAGTAAGTGACTTTTCGAGGCCATACATCAGAGGCAGGATTTGAACCCAAGCCATCCGAGCACAGACCTAGAGTTGGAAGGTCCCTTGGAGGCCGTTGGCTCCAACCTTCTCATATCTCCCCATCCTCACCCAGGGCAACTCTGAACCCTAATCTGCAGGCTCTAATCACTCCCCTTATCTATGTCTCCACTATCTCCATGCATAAACCTCAATGCAGGCTGAAGGAAGTTAACTTTGGGGCAGGAAGGGAGATTACCATCTAGCAGGCTGGCCAGAAGAGAGCTGTCACTTGGAAAGACACGTGTCTTCCTGGCAAAGGGATTACACTGCTGTGCCTGGCCCCAGAGGACAAAATCAGGAGCCTTTCCAGGTTTCTCACGCCTCACTAGTGCCAGGAGAACTCTGTGATCCGGTGACACCAGCCTCCTTGCCTCGCCTCACACATGACTGTCCTCCCAACTCAGGGCATTTCCCCTGTCTCAAACTCTCTCCTCCTCCTCCCCCTCCTTCCCCTCCCCCCCTCCTCCTCCCATTCCCCCTCTTCTGGGCCTCCTGGCTTCCTTCAGGTCCCAGATAAAATCCCACTTTCTACAAGAAGCTTTTCCTGCCTCCTTAGTGCCAGTATCTTCTTTCTGAGGTTGCCTCTAATTCATCATGCACATAGGCTATATGTGAAAAGCTGGTTTTTCTTCATCTCTCCCCCATCAGAGGGTGAGCTCCTCAGGAACAAGGGCCATGTCTTTGCCTTTGTTCATGTCATGGGCCCTGACTTGGCTTGGCCACAGAGGAAAGTCAAAAAGAGGCAAGTTTAGGCTGGATACCGGGAAACATCTGCTGACCATGAGAGCTGTCCCAAACTAAAAGGGGTTGCCTCACAGGGGTGAGTCTCTCCTTTCTGGAGGCCTTCAAGCAGACGGGATGACCACTTGTCACCATGTCAGAGAAGACCTCTGAATGAAGGTGACCTCTGAAGTCCCTTCCAATGCCAAGATTCCACAAATGAGATCTGTGCTTCCCTAGGAACTGATGAATACCTCTGCCTATGGTGGACAGAACCTTGGACTTGGGAGTTGGCAAGACCTGGGGTCAACCCCTCCCTCAGACACTTGGATTTAAGTGAGGAGGCATCTTAGCAATCCTCTAATCCAACTCCACTCATTTTACAGATGAGGAAACTGTGGCTCATTAAGGGTCATGGAGCTAGTGTCAGACTGAGATTTGAACCCAAGTCTTTCTGATTCCCAAGTCCAGAGGCTCATCTCAAGATGTTAGGAGGAAGTATGAACCTACCTAGAGGTAGGCTGGTCCTTTTCTGGAGTCCCCATTTCTGTGCCATCCCACAACTCCCTCCTCCTCCTCTTACCTCCACTGGCTGCCACTCGCCCAGAACAAAGACGTGGAGCATGTTCACATCGGGGTCCTTCTGGAAGATGTTGGGCTTGGCGTGGTGCTGGAAGTGCCGATGATTCCACCAGTTGGCTGAAGCTCCCTGGGGGGGAAAGGAGAGGGGATGAGAGGGATGGGCTCTGGGATCTGATGCTGGTGGGCGCCTGGAGCCCCGGGAAGCAGCCTGTCCATCCTGAGCAGGGCTCCAAGAGAGTGAAACACACAGGGGCAGACGGCCAGATCTGTGAAAAGAGGGGTGGGGGCAAAACCTGATGCAGAGTGAAATAAAGAGAACCGAGGCCACACCATGTCCGTAAGAACGTCCTTAAAAGATGAGTCGCTATAAGGAAGTCAAACTGAGCAACAAGAAACCGGCTACAGATCATGAAACACAGCTCTCCGGTCTTAAGAGAGAGGTGAAGGCTACCGGGCCAGAAAGCCGGATACACTACCAGATTCAGGCACTGAAGCCCCTGTTTTCGCTTAAATGGTTTTCTTTGCTACGAGGGAGGGTTTAAGCTGGGGAGGAGGGGGATGGGTGAGAGAGAAGAGAGGTTACTGCAGAAATCGTGGATAGACAAAACAAAAGGCATCGGTAAAAAATACTTCTATTCTTAAAGTGGAAAAGGATGTCTGTCAATAGAAAATGGGTGAACTGCATGGTCTGGGTGAGTCATTTCTTTCTTCTTCTGTAAGAAGATGACTGGATCAGGCAGTCTGTCTTCTAGCTGTGATATTTTATAGACCAGGTAATTCGTAAAGTCCTTTCCAGTTCTTTTTTTTTTAATTAAAAAAATTATTAATTTATTTTGATGTATCAACAATCACTTCCATATGCTTTTGAGTTGAAAATTCTTCTCCCCCCCCCCCCCCCCCCCCGCAAGACAGCACACAATCTGATATAGGCTTTACATTTACATACCCATTAAACATATTTTCACATTAGTGAAGTTGTACCTTTCCAGTTCTAAATCCAGGAAAGGTCATAAAGCAGTGAGAAGAGGCCTCAGAGGCTATTTAATCATTTTACAGAGCAGGAAACTGAGGCCCAGAGACGTTAAATTAATTGCCCAGGGTCACACAGCTGGTAAGTGTCTGAGGCAGAATTCCAAACCAAGCCTTACTGGGCTCTACAAGAAAGTATCGAATAATCACCAGTCCAACCGTCAGCCACTAATTCTGACCCAATTCCCCAGCCAAGGCTTCTTACCTGAACTGAAATGAGTTTAACTGGATGGATTTGAAAGGGACGTATTGCTGCTGCTGTTATTACTACACCCTTGAGCCTTCCCTGTGTGTGGGGTCTTGAGCCCTTCACTGTGACCCTCCCAAGGGACGCTGCCTGTTTCCTGGGCCCCAGCGTTGGTGGGAAGCGTGCCTTGCCCGATAATCAGTGGCACCCAAGGACTATTGACGAGCCGTCAGTTGGCTTGTTCGCTTCCTGAGATAGAGAGATCTAGACACAGATGGCAGTTCTGCCAAAGGCCTGGCTTGTGCCCAGAATGTTTCCCAAGCACAAAATGTTTGTTGGAGCAAATGCGTGTTCTCATTGGTTGGCCCGCATTCTTGTCTAAGATATTAACCTGGCAAAAGTTCCCTGACTTGATGGAGACATCTGTGCTGACAGGTTCTGGGGAGAGAGCATGAGGGTTGCCCAGCGTGTCAGCTAGCGACGGGCCGCTGGCAGAAGCACTGAGGGAGATGCCGTGAGCCCAGGCTATCCATGTCACAGCTCTGCGCAAGAGGCTTCCTGCGCTCTGGAGGGTGGGTCTACGAATCCCCCATGCTTTCCCATCTCAGCTAGGCCTCCCACCATCTGCAGGAAGCCTTCCTCAATCCCTCCTCATTCCAGTGCCTTCTTCCTTTTAACTATCTCCAATTTATCCTGTAGGTAGCGTGTTTGTACATATTTGTTTGCACGCTCCCTCCCCCATTGGACTAGGAGCCCAGACCGTCTTTTGTCCCTTTCTATATTCCCAGTGCTTAGCACATAGTAGGTGCTTCATAAATGCTGGTTGGATGTTGAATTACTGAATGTTTGAAATATAGGAGTAAAATGGGTGTGTCCCTTTACAAATGCTCATCTCCTGGGATCCTAGAAATATAGAAGGCTACTCCCACTTAGGATATAAATTGCATCCCCCCACCCACCCAAGTCTTCCTGAATGGAATGCTTTACATTTTATAGCCATTATCTCATCGTAAGAATACTGTGAGGTAGGGCGTTGTCATCCCCATTTTACAGATGAAGAAACTGAAAGCAACATCCACCCTCCCTCTGGCCTCTGACCACCCTGAGAAAATACTGACCAGCAAGAAGAAAAAAAAAAAGATACCCTGGATCAGATCCAAATCAGCCCTTGAGCTGGGTGTCAAAAGACCTGGATTCGGAATCCTCTGCCACTTACTAACTGGCTGATCTTGGGTAGATCACTCTCTGGCTCTCATTTTCCCCACCTGTAAAATGAGGAGGTTGAACTCTGTGGTCCCCAAGCTCCTTCCCACTGTCTAAAAGGCTGGAAACCTCGGACTAGCCCAGAGCTGGTTCTGTAGGGCTGTGAAGATGGATTCCCTGCCTCACTGTACCCTACTGCTGCCTCACCCCTCTAAAACATCTGCTATGTCAGGTCAAAGATTAATATCCTGAACGGACAGAGCCAAGATGGCAGAGGAGAAGCAGCAACCCAGATGAATTCTTACAATGTTACCTGCTGCCCAACTGCCATCAAATTTTGGAGTGGCAGAGCCAACAAAAGGTTAGAGTGGGACTTTTTTCCAGCCTAACATAACTTAGGAGGTCTGCAGAAGTCTGTCGGCAGCACTAGCAGCAACTTTGGGAGCTCTCAGCCCAGAGACTGTAAGGAGATCAGACCAACCGGTCAGAGAGATTACAGGGGACTCCTTGCTGGCACCGACTGGTGACTCATATGCAGTTTTAGGTTGCAGTTCCAGGGCAGAGAAAAGTGCAGGGAAGACCAAGAAACAAATTCAGAAGAAGAAAAGTGAAAACAACTACAAACCAAATCTCAAACAAAAAAAAAGAGCTAATTGGACTCAAACCCAACAAGAATTCCTTGAAGAGTTAAAGAAAGAGTTGAGGGGCAGCTGGGTGGCACAGCGGATAGAGCACCAGCCCTGGAGTCGGCAGGACCCGAGTTCAAATCCGGCCTCAGCCCAAACACTTGACGCTTACTAGCCGTGTGACCCTGGGCAAGTCACTTAACCCCAACTGCCTCACCAAAAAAAAAAAAAGAAGAGGTAAGCATGGTAGAGGAAAAATTAGGAAAAGAAATGAGCGGTGCAAGAAAATTATGAAAAGAAATTAAACAGCTTGGTAAAAGAGGCGCAAAAAAATACTGAAGAAAGGAACACCTTAAAAAACCAGAATGGGCCAAATAGTGATAAAGGCACAGAGATTTACTGAAGAAAAGAATTCCTTCAAAAGCTGAATTGGCCAAATGGGAAAAAAGGTACAGAATCTCACTGAAGAAAAATGAGATTTGGGCAAATGAAAGCTAATGATTCTATGAGACATCAAGAAACAATAAAACGAAGACAAAAGAATGAATCTCTTCCCATCTCATTGGAAAAACCGACCTGAAAAATAGATCAAGGAGAGAGAATTTAAGAATTATTGGACTACTTGAAAGCCATGGTCAAAAATAGAGCCTGGACATCATATTTCAATAAATTATCAAGGAAAACTGCCCCAATATCTTAGCTCCATAGGGTAAAATAGAAATTGAAAGAATCTACTGATCACCTCCTAAAAGAGATTCCAAAATGAAAATTTGCAGGAATATTATAGCCAAATTCCAGAGCTGCAAGGTCAAGGAGAAAGCATTGGGAGCAGCCAGAAAGAAACAGATCACCCAAGATTTGGCAGCTTCCACATTAAAGGAGTGGGGAGCTTGGAATATGATAGTCCAGAAGGCAAAGAAGCTAGAATTACAACCAAGAATAACCCGTACAACAAAACTGAACGTAATCCTTCGGGGGTGGGGGGTGGGAATAGATATTTAATGCGACAGTGGACTTTCAAGCATTCCTTATGAAAAGAACAGAACTGAACAGAAAATCTGACATTCAAACACAGGACTCAAGAGAGGCATGAAAAGGTAAAACCTAAGAGAGAACTCATAAGGGTCTCAATACAGTTCAACTGTTTATATTCCTGTATGGGAAGATGATAGGACTTCATCATTATTAGGGCAGTTAAAAGCAGTCTGCATAAACAGAGGGTGTAGCTTTGAGCCAATTATGTTGCAATGATCTCCAAAACAAATGAAGGGGTGAGAAAGAGGGATGCCCTGCAAGATGGGGGAAGGAAGAGACAGAATGGGGAAATTTTCCTCACATAGAAAAGGAGCATAAGGAGCAGCTTTTAGAGTGGAGGGGGAAACGGGGGGAGGGGGGGGAATGGGATGGGTGGCGGGTAATGCTTGAATCCTACTCTTATCAGAATTGGTTCAAAGAGGAAGAATATATATACACACACTCAGTTGTATATAGAAAGCTATCTTATCCAACAGGGAAATAGAAGGGGAAGGGGATAAGAGATGGGGGTGGAGTTGATAAAAGGAAAGATGGATTAAAGGAGGCAGAGGTTAGAAGTAAAATAGACTTTTGAGGAGAGACATGATAAAAAGAGAGAAGGATAAATAGAAGAAAATAGAAAGAAGGGAAATAGACAGTAATCGTAACTGTGAATGGGATGAGCTCACCCATGAAATGGTAGCCAAAAGCAGAATGGATTAGAAACCAGAATCCAATATGTTGTTTAGAAGAGACACGTTTGAAACAGAAACACACACACACAGAGTTAAAAATAAAGGAGCAGAATCTATTATTTACTTCAGCTGAAGTTAAAAAGGCAGGGGCAGCAATCATGACCTCAGACAAAGCAAAAGCTAAACCGGGCCTAATTAAATGGGATCATCAGGGAAACTACATTTTGCTAAAAGGCACTATAGTCTATGGATTATTGCCCCCCAAAACTGACAGCAAGTTTCTCTGATAAAGACCTCATTTCTCAAATATATAGAGAATTGAGTCAAATTTATAAAAATAAGAGCCATTCCCTCTAATTGATCAATGGTCAAAAGATAGGAACAGGCATTTTTCAGAAGAAGAAATCAAAACTATCTAGAGTCATATGAAAAGATGCTCTAAATCATGATTAATTAGAGAAAGGCAAATTAAACCAACTCTGAGGTGCCACCTCACACCTATGAGAAATGAAAAATGTTGGAGGGGATGAGGGAAAATAGGTCCACTAATGAATTCCTGGTGGAGTAGTGAACTGGTCCAACCACTCTGCAGAACAGTTTGGAACTATGCCCAAAGGGCTACAAAACTGTGGATACCCTTTGGCCAAGGAAGACCAGCGCTAGGTCTGTATCCCAAAGAGATCAAAGAAAAAGGGAAAGGACCTACATGTGCACAAACATGTATAGCAGCTCTTTTGGTGGTGGCCAAGAACTGGAAATTATAAAGATGCCTATCCGTTGGGGAATGGCTGAACAAGTCGTTGTATATCATTGTGATGGAATACTACTGCGCTACAAGAAATGACAAGGGGGTGGTTTCAGAAAGATACGGCAACACCTCCACGAACTGGGGCAAAGTGAAGTGAGAAGAACCGGGAGATCACTGCGCACAGTAACAGCAACGTCGATCAACTGTGAAAGACTTGGCGTTCTGATGATACGATGATCAAAGATGATTCCAAAAGATAATGACGTGATGATAAATACTATCTACCTTCAGAGAGAGAACTGATGAACTGAAAGCAAATTAAAATATAATCTTCTCACTTTTTTTTCCTTGTTTTTTTTTAAAATATGGCTAATATGGAAATATTTTAGATGATTTCACATGTACAATTGATATATCGTTTGCCTTCTCAGTGGGTATAGGAGGGAGAAAATTTGGAACTTAAAATTTGAAAAGAAGGTTTAAATTAATAATGGAACTCCACAACCAAACCAAAAAACAAATGTGCTGTTTCTCACACGAGGCCCTTCCCCATCTCACTCCAGCCTCCCTCCCTCATTTACTACACACCAGTCCCCTTCCCACGCTCTGTGTTCCAGCCAAACTGGGCTGGGGGCTGATTCTCAGACATGATGGCCTGTTTCCTATCTCCGTGACTTTCTATTACCTGGAGATGACTCCCTTCCTCCCAACAGCCTCTTAGAATTCTGAGTTTCATTCAAAGCTCAGATCAAGGGCCACCCCCTCAAGAAAGAGGCCCTCCTCCCCCAACTCATCTAGTGCTCCCTGAAACGATTTTCTATTTGCCAATGTGCATACGCTGTCCCCGCCCAAAGGATACAAGAGGGCAGCGATGGTTCTTTTGGGGGCTTTGAATTCCCAGCTCCTGGCAGTGACTGGCACACAGGTGGTGATTACCAAATGCTCATTGAGTAAATGAATGGTGGATTTCAGTGAAAGAGTGGGAGAAACAGCTAGGAGGGGAATCTGGGCCCCCTGACCTAGCCCACTTCTCCTCCTCCTTCCCCAGGGATCTGTGTGCCAGCTAACCTGTGCCCCCTCCCCTCCCCCAATTCAGCCTACAAAAGCAAGCAATAGAGATGAGTGTTGAACCAAAGTTCTGGCTTGGGTATTCCTGAAACTTGGCCTGATCCCTCTGGCCTGACCATGGAGCTGGGGTCAGGGTCCACCCCCACCCTGGGGGGCATCCCTTCCTCTGGACCAGGGCCACATGGGTCCACACAGACCAGCCTTGTGAAGCCCACAAGGCTAAGGCTGGTTAGGAGGGGGGTGCTGCTTTTCAGCATTCAAGAGAGTTTTTATTAGAAAGGAGAGAGCAGGAGAAAAGACACAAAGCTCCCTGTGTGACTCGAGGCCCCCCAGTCCTGGCAGAAAACCAGACCCTCATACGAGCTCAGGCGAGGCTGCTGGTTATGAAGCAGGAGGCCAGGCTGGCCGTGAGAAGGCTCCTCAGCTCCGCTCAAGCCAGGAAAGAGAGAAATCAGTTCGTTGGTGACTAAGAGGGAAGGTGAAAGCCCAGGGCCCGGCAGTCAGAGCCAGCCAAGTTCTGTGGGGGAGCTGGGCCAGTGACTGCCCCCGGGGGAGGGTTCACAGGAGCCCTGGTCCGTGAGCAAACCAAGGCCCAGGAAGGTGATGTGAGAGATTAACTGGGTTAGGTCCCCCCTTTTACAGATGAGGAAACTGAGGCCCTGGGGGGTGACTAGCATTGTGAGGTTAGCCATGCATTTTGCCAATATAGTGTTGTCTGATCCTCACAACAACCCTGGGAGGGGGGGGGTGCTGTTATTATCCCCATTTTACAGATGAGAAAACAGTCCAACAGAGGTTCAGTGACTTGTCCAGGGTCATATAGCTAGCAATTGTCCAAGGACGGGTTTAAATTCAGGTCCTGGCTCCGGTTTCAGCATTATGTACTGAGCCACCTCACTGCTCAGGATTCTTAACTTATCCTATGTTTGTGTCATGGACTCTTTGGGGGAAGCCACTCATGGATCCTTTCTCAGGGTCCATTTAAAAAAAATAATGTTTTTAAATACACAAAATAAAATACTTAGTATTACCAAGGAAACCAATGATACTGAAAGACAGTTATCAAAATATTTTTGGTCTTTCCTCCTTCCTTCCTTCCTTCCTTCCTTCCTTCCTTCCTTCCTTCCTTCCTTCCTTCCTTCCTTCCTTCCTTCCTTCCTTCCTTCCTTCCTTCCTTCCTTCCTTCCTTCCTTCTTCCTTTCTTTCTTTTCTTTCTTTCTTTCTTTCTTTCTTTCTTTCTTTCTTTCCCTTTCTTCTTCTTTCTTTCTTTCTTCTTTCTTTCTTTCTTCTTTCTTTTCTTTCTTCTTTCTTTCCCTTTCTTTCTTTCTTTCTTTCTTTCTTTCTTTCTTTCTTTCCCTTTCTTTCTTTCTTTCTTTCTTTCTTTCTTTCTTTCTTTCTTTCTTTCTTTCTTTCTTTCTTTCTTTCTTTCTTTCTTTCTTTCCAATGGGATTAAGGCCTGGAGAGAGGAAGACGTCTCCTGTACAGCAATGGGGGCTCCCAGTTGAAAGGGCCATTGACAGGGCAGCGAGGTAGTGCAGTAGATAGAGCACTGAGCCTGGAGTCAGGAGGACCTGAGTTCAAATCTGACCCCTGACACTTACTAGCTGTGTGACGTGTGACCCTGGGCACGTCACTTAATCCTGATAGCCACCAAAAAAAACAAAAAAGGAAGAGGGCCATGACAAGCTGGAAAGCCACCAGAGGCGGGAAGGGCACCAAGGCCTGGCTGGAGGAACCAGGGAGACTGATGCTGGCAAGGAGAAGACACGGGGAGACAGGGTTGATGCATTTGAGCATCTGACGCCCTGCCTTGTGCAACAGGGACCAGACTTGTCCTTTCTGGCCCCGGAGGAGGGAGCCAGGCACAACAGAACAGCTGCCATTCAGGCATTTAAGTCATGGGTGACTTTCGATGACCCCATTTGGGGTTTTCTTGGGAGGGTACCAGACTGGTTTGCCATTTCCTTTTCCAGATCATTTTACAGATGAGGAAACTGGGGCAAGCAGGGTTTAGTGACTCGGCCAGGGTCAAACAGCTAGAGGTATCTGAGGCTGGATTTGAACTCAGGTCTTCCTGACTCCAGGCCTGGTGCTCGGTGCACTGCAGTGCCCCCAGCTGCCCTTAGAATAGAATTTAGAAAGGGTCAAATTTTGGCTCTCTGGAAGAAAACATGTCCTGATTATGAGAGGCACCCCAAGGTAGACTGGGCCGCATCAGGACTTGTGGGCACCCTCCTCCTCACTGGAAGGGTTCAGAGACTGGCCAGTCACCTGCTGGGTATGTGGTCATGGAGATTAATCTGCGGACCCTTTGGTCCCGAGGTCCCTCCCGGCTCTGGGATGCCCCTCTGGGCAATGACTCATCCAAGGCCATTCAACCAGTAACGAGCACATATGCACTTCAAAGTCAGGACCCACGGCTTGCCTGCTATGACCCCTCTGCTGTGGCTGGCAAGCCCCGCAGCTCTTCTCTCTGCCCCAAGTTACTGAGCCCTGGGCATCTCAAGGTGTCAGTTTCTTCATCTACAAAGTGGGTATCTCAGGCTTACCCTGCCTCCTTGAGAAGATCAAACTCCAAATCAAAGTCATCCAAATGGTCGGAGAGGCTGCAGTCACCTCCGTGCCCCCATAAGACACTGGAAGATCTTAGCAGGTGAATTTCCTTCTGATAACTCGTGACTTACCGAGATGAGTTAATTTGGAAACAGAATTGTTGTCGTTCAACAAGAAGAGAAATAAGAATGATCCTGGTAGTGTGTGATGGGCAAGAGAAAGCTCTCCAGAGCCTTCTGGGAGACTCTGAGGACGCAGAGAGTACTTTCCACCAGGAGGAATCAGGGCAGGCGGCATCTGAGCAGGTCTCAAACTTGGCTTCTGAGGGGAGCAGGTGAGGATGGATGGCATGCCAGGCCTGGGGCTAGGAAATCTGCTTCTCCCTGCCCAGACTAGCTTGGAGGGACAGATCTGAGAACGCCTCTGATCTGCAAAGGGCAATGAGATGACGCTGAGCCTGCTTCACAAGGACAGCACTTACCTTGAGGTGGCCGATCACAAATTTGTGGACAACGTGGTTCCACGTGGATTTCTTGTAGACTGAGAGATGGCCATAGTCATGTTGGAGCCATCCAGCCTGGGCCTGGGGGAAGAGAGCAGGACAGGAAAAGATACTTGGTAGGGCCCTAGACTGCACCTGCAAGGTCTGGCCTGCACAAGCCAATCGAAAGCACAGAAACAGAGGGTCCGGGTGTGCCCTGGGAGTGCCAGGAGGCGAAAGGTGAGAAGGAAGGACAGAGCCAGGGAGGATCTATCTCCAACTCAACATGTGACCTGGGGGTGAGCACCTCCCCCTTCTAAGCCTGTTTCCTCATCTGTAAAATGAGGGAGTGGAATGATCCTTAAGGTTCCTCCCAGCTCAGACAGTCCATGTTCTACATTCTAAGCTCTCTCCCCCAGGGTCTCCCCCATAGCTGACATCCCATGTTCTAACGTCTCCTGTTTCTCACCTGGGAGGTGGCTAAGATGAAGGCTGTCAAGATGGTCGAGATCCAGCCAGTGCCAAAGTAGAAAACGGTGAACCAGCCGATGCTCTCCATGACGACGATGTGGGCCAGGAGCAGAAGGAAGAACGTGTGATCGGCCTCAAAGAGCTTCATGTCTTCCGCGGTCTTCCTCAGGGCTCGGAAGTCCTCGGTGATCTGAGGCTGAGAGGTCGAGCCCAAGAAGGGGGATCAGCCGCCTGGGCGATTCCCCACAATACGGGAACCCAGAAGGTCCCCAGCAACTCAGTGCTCCCTCCCAGAGGAACCAGCTTTCCCATGCCGAAAGGGTTAATTAGACGACCTTCAGGCCATCAACAGACAGAACTATGTCTTGAGTTTCACACACCCATACTCATGCTGCATCAGAGAGCGGGAAGCCCTAGACATCCTCTATGCCCTGAGAAAACTTCAAGTCTGGCTGGGAAAAAGGCATAAATTAGAAGTATATAAACTATTGAGTCAGCAGCAAATGGGTATAGTTTTGTCTCCTCTTTACCTATGTTTATGCCTTTGATTTCTTTCTCTTGTTTTACTAGCCCTGGCATTTCTAGAATGTGTCAAATAACAGGGGCGGAATGGGAGTCCTTGTTTTATGCCTGTGTTTACTGGGAAAGCTTCTATTGTTACTACTGTATAGGACTCTAGCTTTGGGCTTTAGATAAATACTTTTTCATGGTTTTAAAGAGGCTCTTCCATCCCTGTGTTTTATAGGGTTTTAACAAAATGAGTGCTCTGTCTTCTCCAAGACTCTTTTTTGCATCTCTTGAGATGCTCATGTGATTTGGGATGTTTCTGTTTTTAATATAAATAATTATGCCATTTGTTTTCTTTATTCTGATACCTGGTATAACATAGATAGATGATTTTAAAAGGATAATTTAATAAGATAAGGTAAGAGAAATGGTATAGCTAGCATTTGTATGGAAAAAGAGACGAGGGTCTTAGCAGGCTACAAGCTCAATGTAATTACTGTGTGAGCTGAGCAGGGGTTCTGAGGAAAAGCTGTTATTTCATTGGTGTGGGCAATGGCCAGCTGGGACCACTGTACAACTTAATGACTTTAGAAAACTGCCCTGAGCACTTAAGAGGGTGAGTGGCCAAGGAGAATGGAAATCTCAGTCTTTGAGGCCAGCGCTCTCTCTCTCTCCCCCTGCTTCTCTCTCCCTCTCTCTCTGTCTCTCCCATTCTCTCTCCCTCTTTCTCTCTCCCTCCCTCCCTCCCCTCTTCCTCCTCCTCCTTCTCTCCTCTCTCTCTCTCTTCCCCTCTTGCCCCCCTCCTTTCTCTCTCTTCTCTCCCCCCTCTTCTCTCTCTCTCTCCCATTCTCTCTCTTTCTCTCTCTCTCTCCCTCCCCTCTTCCTCCTTCTTCTCTCTCCCCCCCTCCTCTCTGTCTCTCCCATTCTCTCTCTCCCTCCCTCCCCTCTTTCTCCTTCTTCTCCTTCTCTCTCTCTCTCTCTCTCTCTCTCTCTCTCTCTCTCTCTCTCTCTCTCCTCTCTCTCTCTTCTCTGTCTCTGTTTCTCTTTCTTTCCCTCTCTCCCCCTGTCTCTGTCTGTCTGTCTCTGCTGTGCTTGGACTCTTTCTTTATTGCTAAGGATGCCTCGCAGGGACAGTTGTGCCAAGAAATGAGTGACAGGAGGCAGAAGAGAAGGGCTTCTAATAGGAAGGTGAGGTATTGTGCACAAAACAGTCTCTACCAAACACCTGCCCCGTGCTCAGGAGTCTTCTAACTATCCTTGGTCCCTGTGGGAAACCACAAGAATGTAAGCTCCTTGAGGACAGGACCAAGTGTGTTTGTCTTGGTCTCTGGTGCCCAATGGTGAATGCCAATTGATCTGGCCTCAATCCTGCCTCAAGCAGGAGAGGGCCCCAGGGCCCCTGGCAGGCAGGCCGACCACACTGCAGTCCCAGGCCATCTGAGCTCCCCCTGCCCCCAGCTCTTCCCTAGACTCACACTCTTGCCACGGTCTTGGCTGGGCTCTCCAGGGGCCAGCTCCCCAATCAGCAGGGGCTTCATGAACTTCCTCACAAATCGTAGGTCTTGGTGGAAGGCGAGGAACGCATCCTGGGTGGGGAGAAGGAAAAAACAGCTGGATCTGAGGCAGGCAGAGGGACCAGAATAAACAAAAGCACTCTGGCACCCCGTTCACATTTTCCTTCCTGCCTAATCCTCAGAAGATTGCAGACTAAGAGCTGGAAAACAGATTCCTTAGTAATCATCTACTCCACCATTTTACAGATGAGGAAACTGAGGCCTAGAAAGGAGGAAAAAGTGGCAGAACAAGGAGCAGCTAGGTGGCGCAGTGGATAGAGCACTGGCCCTGAAGCCAGGAAGACCTGAGTTCAAATCCAGCCTCAGATCAAACACTTGACACTTACTAGCTGTGTGACCCTGGGTAAGTTACTTAACCTCAACTGCCTAAAAAAAGAAAAAAAGTGGCGGAACCAGGATTCAAATCCAGGCCTCCCAAGGTTTACCACCCGCCATGGCTAGGCCTCTCTTCCTCTTCCCAAACCTCACCCCAGGTAGTTATCTCATCAGCTGCCCAGGCCGGGTCCAGAATTGGGCCTCTCTTCCTGACCCCTGGGGAAGAAGTTCAAGGCCGTGGGAGCAGGCTGATGGTAGCAGGAGAACTCTCCCCCTCCAATTCTGGACAAGATGGGACCCCATGGTCAGGGTCCCAGCCCCACAAAAGTTAGGGGCACCTTGGAGGCCACTGGCCCAAAACGAACTCATTTTTGCAGATGAAGAAACTGAGGCACAGACTGGGCAAGTGATTTGCCCACACAGAGGCAGGAGGTGGGTTCCCATCCTAGCTTCAGTAGTTACCATCCAGAGGACTTTGGGCTAGTCACTTTACTGCCACCTCTGGGCCTCTGTTTCCACACCTGCCAAAGAGAAGGACCGGGGCTCATGAGCTCTGGGGTCCCCTTCAGCTCTGGGCCTCGGATCTGAAGTCACTCAGCCTCCCCGGTCTATAGAATAAAGGGGCTGAAGGAGATGAGGACCCAAGGTCCCTCCACCTCCAGAGAAGGGAGATTCCTTCAGGAGAGGCCCCCAGAGTCAGGAAGAGAGGGTGGCCAAAGGTAGAGCCCAGATCAGGAGATCCCTGTTTACCAAAGCAGGGGCCAAGGGGAAAACTTCATTATCTGTTTAAATGTTCTATCTTATCTCCAAGCAGATTACAAAACCCCTCAGGGCAAGGACATGTGGAAAAGTCTGTGGTGGGGTCTGAGGCCTTGGGTTAAAAAAAAAAAAAATCTTCTTGTGCCTCAGTTTCCTCTTCTGTAAAATGAGAAGGGTAGGACTAAATGACTGGACTAGATGACCCATAAGGCACTATGTGTGCTCCGGGCCCTGAGCTAAGTGCTGAGGATACAAAAACCAACAGTTCCTGCCTTCAGGAAGCTTATATTCCAGCAGGTTTGAGCCAAGGGGGTGAGTCACCCAAGGTCACAAGCACGCAGCTGGCATCCATTCGAGACGGTCCCCAGAGGTCTTCCCTACCCCATCTGGTCTCACTCTTCATACACCTCTCTTCCTTCCCACTGCTAACCCCCTACCATGAATCATGACAACAGCTCAGAACTATAGACCCTCGGCAGCCTAGTGGAGAGAGCGCAGCCTGCCCTCTGAAAGCAGAAGGACTCAACCTCCTATCTCAGCAACCTTGGACAAATCCCTCACTCCTCCTTAGCCTCTGTCTCCACATCTGTAGAATGGGGATGATAACATCTCGCAGGTCTATCTCACAGAGGATCCCGGGAGATGAAGTTGGTTAAAAAGTTCTTTGCCAATCTGAAATCTCTATCAGCTGTTGCATTATTGATGCTACTCAGAAAGGGTAGAGTATCACCGCATGCCCAGCCAGCAAATACTGATTATCCACCTGCTGTGTGCGCAGCCCCTAGCTAGGGAGCCGGCCAAGGGGCAAAGGGGAGAGTTCCGGTGAGCCCCAGCTTTCTTCAAAGCTCCCGGCCGGGGGGGGGGGGGGGCGGGGCACACAAAGAAGAAGAGCAGATGAACGCAAATCACTAAAATACAAACAAGTCTTAAGTTCTTAGCAGAGGAGCTAAGCGAGGGGAAGTGCCAGAGGGCCAATCAGTCACCAGCCATTCACCAAGCGCCCACGGATGCCCTAAGCCCTGGGGGTATAAAGAAAGGCTCAGCATCTAAGGGAAACAGCAGGTAAGCAACGAGGTAAATTCTTAACTGACAGGGGAAGAGAAGACTTTGGCAGCTGGGGTTGGGGCCTGAGAGCAGGCAGACCTCCGGCGGATGATGGGAAAAGCCTGAGAAGCCTAGAACAGCAGGAAGGGGCCAGCGGCAAAGGTTTCAAATGCCAAATGGAAGAACAGGGATTACTGTCTCAGGGCTTGAGGAAGGCTTCCTGAAAAACGCGGCACTTGATCTGGGCTTTAACAGATAGAATTTCACCAGGCAGAGAGGCAGGGAAGGTGGACATTTCAGGCACACAAAGGCACAGAGAATGCCCGGGGGGTTGGGGGGCAGTCCAGCCTGGCCAGGGGAGCAGTAAGAGCTAAGTCTAGGATAGCAGAGGGTCTCGAAGGCTAAGCTCAGGAGCTTGGGCAATGGGGAGCCACAGCAGATTCTGGAGCAGAGGATGCAACGCGCAGAGCAAAGGGCTGCTGTCCTCCAGGGGCCAGCCTGTCCGGGTTACCAGAGGCTCAGTGCCCCAGCCAGGCTGGTGCCAACCCCAGCCTGACTATCCCAGTCTCTGCCTTCAGTTTCCCTAAGTCCCCTCCCACCTGACACAAGGCACGCACAGTGAAGATGTCCTAGCTGCCCCAGGGAGAGGGTGGCCTCCCTCCCCGACCTAGGAAGCTAGCAGATTGGATCAGGAACCTGAGAAGCGAAACTGATGATGCCAGGAAACAAGACCCTGGCTGTCCTAGTGACCCACACTGATGTAACTCGGCATCTGCACTTCAGAGAGCTCCATCCCTTGGGAGCCTGGGTCCCTGAGGCGGGATCAGCCACCTGGATGAACCGACGGCCCAGAGGCCTCTCAGGAAGAGAACAACATGGCTGAAGGACAGCTGAAGAGCAGATGCCATGTGGAAGGGCTGGGGGTGGGGAAGCAGATAGGAGAAGGAAGGGATCCGGCGTGGCTTCAGAACCTTCCACTGACTCCCCAAGTCTGAACTCCTCCAGCTCTGGCTGGAAGGGCCCTCAGAACAGAGAACGTGGGATGTCGGCTGGGAGTAACGTCCAAACATAGAAGAATAAAGATGGAAGGGCCTTAGAACAGAGAACACAATGTCAGAGCTGGGAGGGACCTTAGAACAGGGAATGTGGGACGTCAGCTGGCAGTAACGTCTGAACACAGAAGAATAAGGGTGGAAGGGCCTTAGAACAGAGAGCATGGGATGTCAGCTAGGAGAAATATTACAGCCCAGAAGAGTTGGAAGGGCACAAGGTCACAGCTAGAAGGCACCTCAGAGATTATGTAGACCTATACATTCATTGTATAAGAGTAGCATAATGGATGGAGCCCTGGGCCTGGAGTCAGGAAGACCTGAGTTCAAATCTGCCTCAGATGTTCACTAGCTTTGTGACCCTGGGCAAGTCACTTAACCCTATCCGCCTCAGCAGTTTCCTTGCCTGTAGAAGGAGCTGGAGAAAGAAATGATCAAGCACTCCAGTAAATTTGCCCAGAAACCAGTCTCAAATGGGGTCACAAAGAGTCAGACGTGACTGAACAATTCACTTCATAGAGGAACAAAATGGGACCCAGTGAGTTTACATATGTACTATGTGGCAGAGACTCGACTCAGGCCCTCCTTCCTCCATCACACCCCATGGCCTTCCTCCGCCCTCCTCTACCTGCCGGGTGGTCCTGGTCTCCAGAGAGCCCCTGCCCGAGGCTGCCACCAGCCTCCTCTCCTTCCCTCCCTGGCCTCTCTGCCCCTCCCCAACCCACCTGGCTCATCCTGCCTTGGTTACAGCTGTGGTTGCTCCCTGAAGGCAGAGCCCCTCTCATCCTGCTCCAAGCTCTCATAAGCTGTAGGCGTTTCATCAAAATACTATTGAATTGAATTGACTGAAATGCTATGGTTGAGAATACTCCAAGGCCCTCAGGGTGAATTGTAGGACTATTTCAGGCCCTCGATTTCAGCAGGCTGGGACTCTCTGTCCCTACCAGGTCATTAAATCAGACCTCTCCAAAGCCAGGGGCAGTTGGCCTTTGGTGCTTGCCAGGACCCAAACATCCCCAGTGTGGACGGCCCGCTGCAAGACTGTGATTTGTACCTTGGACAGCAGATGCACGGTCTGTCACTAGGCTTGGCCCCGGAACTTGCCTTCCAGCTAGCACAGCCTTCAGCAAGCCCAGGCCACCTCCCAGGGGATTGCCAGATGGCCTCAGACGGCTCAGTCAAGGATGGGGCTGGGAGGGGGGGGGTGAGGGAAGGGGAAACAGAAGCCAGGGCACAGACATCCCCCTTCTGCCGCCTTCCTTAACCTACAGTGGGTATTTACAGGGCCCTGAGCTGCCCAAGGCCCTTTCTAAATCATACAAGCACAGTGTAAGACACCAAGGAGAGAGTCCTGGAATCTCACTGACAAGGGACTGCAGAGGCCACGCAGTGCAACCTGTGGCTGAGAAGGATTCGCTCCAGGACAGCCCCAAGGAGTCCCAGTCCGGCTTTGGATTGAATACCTCTGAGAAGGAAGAACTGGCCATTCTCCACGGTGGCCCATTCGCCCCTTAGCCCCCTTCGGCTGCCAAGCTCCTGCTGTGGTGACCTGGATCCTGATGGGTGAAGGCCTCTCAGGGCCCACTCTTCGTTTTATTCCATTCTCTCCCCAGGCTACCCCTGCCCCAGCCCAAATAACCTCACTGGCCATCACTCCTGGGAAGGTGGGGACAGTCTACTTCCCTGGGGCTTCATTCCCCATCCTCGTAAATTTCCAGACCAAAATGGTCAATAAACATTTACTATATGCTAAGTGCTAAGAACCCAAAGACAGCAAACAGATATGTACAAGCAAGGATCAAAAGGAAAAAACTGAGAGAGGGAAGCTCCAGAATGAAGAGGGGT